TATATATATATATATATTGCTCTCTTTGTATGTATGTGTATGTTGCTTCCTTCCCTGTGAGAAGGAATATCAATAAAATCCAATACTAACCATAAATAGAGAAAAAAAAAAAAAGAGAAAAAGGAGTAAAAAGAAAATAATAAAAAAGAAAAGTATATCTATAAATATATGCCACTCCTACCTTCTGTTCCCACCAGTACTACTATTTATTATTTTTCTCATAGTATTAGTAGTAGGAATAATAATAATAATAATAATAATAATAAAACATATACAGAAATGTCCAAAGACTATTAAATTGTCTTCTTTCTTTTTCGTTTTTTTCTTGTTTAAATCATTCTCGTATATTTCTTTCTGTTTTCATCATCTTTCTCCGTTTATCTGTGTGTATGTTTGTGTGTATGCTGTTATTGTAGTAGTAGTAGTAGTAGTAGTAGTAGTAGTTATAGTTTAGTAGATGGACAGTAACAACCATAACACCAAAAAAGAAAAAGGAAGAAAAACAAACATAATGGTGAAAAAAGCAATAAGGAAGAAATGATAACAAACATTCATAACAAGGATAATTGTATTTATCAATGTATTCATCGTTACTAAGAGACACCTCCTATACTCTCTCTCTCTTTCTCTCTCTTCCCTTTTCTCTCCATCATTATATATATATATATATATATATATATATATATTCACGCTAATACACACACACGCCTCTACTCTCCAACAATTCTCACTTTGCCAATGAACAGACTTCCCCCTACACACACACTTACTACACACACAGAGAAAGAGAAAAAGAATCTCTTCCTTCTTACTACTGTTCCGCGCTGAGAGATCCCGGTGGGAGTCCCTGCATGGCCTCCTTCTCCCGCAGCTCGCGGGCGCCGTTCATTAATTTCATCACCTCAAAATGACGGGCGATGCACTTCCGCTGGCAGGCCTCCATCTTGCGGAGTTTACTGTCGGGCAGATCGCCGCCGGCCAACTCGGCCCGCGTGAGATTTCTATCGTAGCAGACATCCCAGCACTGCTCCAGCACGTCGTTGGCGAGATCAAACATGGCGTAGCGCTCCATCGCCTGCATGATCATCATTTGGCCCTGCATGATGATTACTGATGAGTGGTGGTGGTGTTGTGAAGAGAGAGAGAGAGAGAGAGAGAGAGATGATGAAGACTCCAAAGAAGGGGGGAAATTGGTTTTCTAATTTTAATAATAATAATAATAATAAAAAGTAAATAGGCCTTTTGTCTATGCTATGCACACCGTCAGCCGACCTATTTACTTATTTACTTACTTACTTACTCAGATAGAGATACAGTCTGAGTCAATGGAATTAACTTTTTGGTGTTATTTTTTATTCCTTTTTTGTTTCTTCTATTTTTTGTTGTTGTTGGTTCTCCAGAGGAGATGATGTGAGGCAAAAAAAGAAAAAATAAAATAAATAAATAATAATAATAATAATAAGACTATACAAATAAATACAAAAGACAAAGAAAAGGAAGAAAGAAAACGTCTGGTAATAATAGAGAAAAAGAAACAACTACACAGAATCTGAAAAAAAAAAAAAATTGAATATCAGAGTCATCCAAAGAAGATGATGAAAAGGAAAAAAAAAAAAATGAGAAATGGTGAAAATTGCTCGAAGAATAAAAACAAGAAAAAGAAAAAAAAAAAAAAGAACGAACCACTACGCAGCATTAAAACATATTCTCTTTTTCTTTTCTTTTTTTCTCTTCTTTTCTCTCCCCTTCTTTTTCTTTTTATTACTGATAATTCCCATACAAACAGTAAAATCAACAATAAAATCAAGAAAAAAAAAAGAAAAGAGGAAAAATAAAAAGAAAAAGAGAATTAATAATATTGGCAAAAATAACAAAAAAAAAGAAAAAGAAACCGGAGAATACACCACTTTAAAATGGGTGTGTGTAGTACCTTTTCATCTCAGCATCAGCACAAGTAAAGAAGAAGAAAAAAAAAAAAGAAAATAATAGAGAAAAAAAAAAAAAAAAAGTGCTCTTCACAAAAATAAAAATAAAAAGCAATTTCACCTACTCTCTCAGTTATATAAATACTCTTTATTGCACTCTATTTTCGTTTTTTTTTTTTTTTCTTTTCTTTCTTCCTTTTCTTTCCTTCTCCTATACTCAAAAACCGAAAGATAATAATAATAATAATCATTATCATAATTATTATCATAATTATTATCATTATTATTTTCTTATTTCAGTGCCTTTGCGTAGGCGTCCGCCACAAACTCCCAATTCACAACTCTCCAAAGTTCTTTCAAGTAATCCGGCCGGCGGTTTTCAAAGTCTTTATAATACGCATGTTCCCATACATCCACTGTGAAGATGGGGCGTAGTCCTTTCGTGATTGGACACCCCGCGTTACTGCTGTTGTCAATCACAAGTTGAAATTGTTTAGATGGATCCACACAGAGCCAAGTCCATCCAGATCCAAAGTTGTTTACCGCCGACTGCGCAAATAATTCCTTAAATCGATCCACAGAATCAAAATGAGCGGCAATAGCACTGGCAAGAGGTTGAGGCATAGGCTTTCCATTAGGAGTAATACAACGCCAATAAAAAGTGTGATTGAAGTGTTGGGCCACTTGATTAAATAATACCTTCTTATCCGCATCCTTTACCACATCCCGCATAATATCCTCAACGGTTTTTCCATCATATGTAGTGCCGGCGAGGGCGTTTAATTTATCCACATACGCCTTGTGGTGTTTGGTGTAGTGGAGTTCCATTTGGCGTGGGCTTAACACTGGTGCACACCCTTCTTTCCAGTTAAAGTCCAGTTGAGGCAACTCTGCAGGTGCTCCCTTTGGCTTGACGAGATCCGGTAAAGTAGTGAAACCGCGAAGAAAGGCATTGCAGCCGACTGGGCTTGAGATGGCAACAGCACGACGTAACATAGACATTCCCCTGTTTTTTGTTTTTTGTTTTTTTTTTTTTTTTTCTCCTTTCTTTTCTTTATATTTTTTTTCTTTTCTTTATATATTTTTTTTTCTTTTCTTTTGTTTTTAAATTGTTTCCCAGTTGTTCTTGTTGTTTTCCTTCACGTTCGGTTCCTTGTATTTGCGTAAGGATATGTAATATGTGTACGTTTGCAGAAATATATAAAAATATAAATATTCGCGATGAAAAATATAATAAGAGTTTATATAAGTGTAATAATAAGTGTAGTGTAATAATAAGTAAGAAGACTAAAAAAGGAATTTCTTGCCTTTTCTTTTTTGTCTTTTTAATAATAATAAAAAGAGAGAGCCTATTGATTTGTATGTATTTGGTTCTAAATTATCAAAAAAAAAAAGTAATGGCAAAGTTCAAAAGAATTGAAGAAATGTTATTAATAGGAATACAGTTACCAACAAGAGAAAGATATCTTTTTACACATATAGATATGAGAAGAACCGGGGGAAATAAAAAAGAAAACTTATCGCGAACACAAACTAAGTTACGATCACCTCTTTCTTTCTTTCTTTCCTTTCTTTCTTTTCTTTCTCTCTAATGTATTCATTCACTTCTCTACACATCCAAGAAGAGAATGAGAGAGGGAAAGAAGAAAGAAAAGGGAGCAAACAACAACAACAAAAAAAAAAAAGAAAAAAAAAAGAGAAAGAGTCACAAATAAGATAAAAAAAAACATCATGCAGAATTATTCTTTTTTTTCCATCTCTCCTCTTTATTTCTATCTCTTTCTCTATCTGTCTCTCTTTCACTTTTTTTTTCTTTTCTTTTTTTTTTTCATTATTCTCTTCTCTCCATTTCTGCTACTGTCATCATTCTTCTTCTTCTTGATTTAACGGTAAACGGGATCTCTATTGGCCCAGCTATATGTCTTTGATTTTATATCGGCTACTGTTTGACTCTTATTATATTGTCTTCCCCGCAGAATATAACCAGAGAGCCAATATTTTGTTTTCACCGCATTTCGTGGGTGAATACGCCAATCCAGTGGCACCAATAAATTAGAAGAACCGCCATTTCCACCACCGGCAGGATGACTGGAAACTCGTTTCGTTTTTGAATGAACTTTCGGTCGATGCGGCATATTTTCCTCCACATTGCGATTACCGTAATTGCGTTGATATCGATACATCACCCCCGCCCGTCTCCCAAACACCGCATGGCATTGATTTTCAAAAAGACGGACTTCCTTCGATGGTAATAAGAGAGGAACGAGATTGGGTTCGGAGCCCCGCAGGACCACCGCCGCTGTGCCACTCGCCCGACAAATAACTCCACCATGTCCGGGATACATCTCCACAGAGTGTAATTCTTTTCCATAGGTTACTTCACTTAAAGATATGGTTTGTCCAATCGTGGGCATACATCCTTGAAAAGGTTTATTATAGCAAATACGAGGGAGTTGTTTATATGTAAGAAGTTCAGCCACATAGGCACCATTCGCGTAAAGAAAAAATCCTACAAATGTTTTTTTACGTGGTAAATGAAGAATACAGGCTAACCACTTGGGTACACGTTTCTGTGGTTTATGATTAACCATCACACGATATCCCCATGAACGTTCCTCTACACGTCTGTAGTGTCCAAGTAAAACTTTACTTCCTGGATTGGTTCCACTACGATGTCCCCAGTAATCACGACTAGAAAATCCTTTCCAATCATAATAAAGTGGAGTATACATCATCATATTAGCATTTACTTGAAATGGAGACCAAATATCTTTTTGTAGTAATTGTTGAGAGTATCCATGATCTGGAGAACGTACATACTCCAAACGTAATGCCGTGGGAGGACCTTCTTTAAAAACACCAAAATCATCCGTATATCCATCATACATTTCTGTATGTTTAAGTTGAACATCTTTTCCCGCCTCCATCTTTGGCTCTATACCATAATGTTGACTACCTTGTTTACCAATGGGATTAGACAATTTCACCCCTCGCCGTGCTGTAGATACCACACTGGTAAAGAAATCTGTATGAATAACTGCTAATGTCCTATTCTTTTTTATTTTTTCATTCTCTGTGAATACATCGGCGGTTATTCCACTGCAGGAAACACCGCCGTGGTGTCCCAAGCCGATCACAACAGCAGATGAGACACGGTGTCTCCACATAACACCACACACCTATTTGTAAACAAGAAGAAATAAACAAAAACAAAAATATAAATAAAAACACAATTTTTCCCCCAAAAAATTATATATATATATATAATTAAAGGGGCCTAAAACACATACACATAAATAATCAGCAAAGAGAGAGAAAGAAAGAAAGAGAGAGAGAAATACTAAAGCAAGAGAAAGCATCTCAAGTAAACAAATAAAAAAAGAAAAAAAAAAATGGTTTCACTAAATCCATAAAGAAGAAGAAAAAAAAAGCGCATGTCTCATAATTCAATCTGTAGAAGGTCCATCACGCACATAAGCAGAAGTCTTCAGGCGCACAGTTTGCCTTCTTTTTTTTTTTCTTTATTTGCTTTCTCGTCTCAAAAAAGAAAAAAAAAACACAAAAAAAAAAAACATATACATATTATATATATATATATATGATAATAAATTAAAAAAGAGGTGAAAAGGGGGGAAAAAAAAACGAACAACGCAGAGTTAACATAATAATAAGAAAAAAAAAAAAACAGAAAAAAAAACGAAGAAAAAAAGAGATTCCTTTTTTTTTTTTCTTATTCTATTCTCAACAATCCCAGAACCTTCATATTTAATACCATTCCTCTTCCACCCTCACCACCCACAACCCCGTTTCCCCCCGACCCCTTCTTCCTCTTCTATTCAGCCATTTTTGTAATTTTTTCTCTTTTTTTTTTTCTTTTCTGCTTTCCATTTTCCTCTTAAACATTCGTCACTGTATTATTTATGTATACATACACAATACAGCAGCATTCACCTTTTTTTGATGCTAATGAGGTATACAAACAAACAAACAAACAAACAAAAGAAAAGAAAAGAAAAGGAAAAAAAAAAAAAAGAACGTCAACCAGGCGTTGCGGGAAGAGTCACGCAGAGTTCAATAGGCACGTCGCTGTGGTTCCGCAAACCACCGCTTCTATTTCTCTTTCCAGCATGGGAAACAACTGGGGTGAAAAAGATCGTACATGAACGCCCTGTAGTATAAAGAACATAGGGATTGTAAGTTTCTTTAGGAATGCAAATGCTTTCTTCTTCATCCACATCATCATAGTCAACAGTTGAACCATCATCCAAACATCCAAGATTACTGTTACTACAACTGATTCTTCTGTTATTTCCACCACGATCACTATTGCGTTCACTATTATGTCTTAATAGACTTGTTGACCGTTCATTAAATGATACATTTATCTTGAATTGATTTGAAGAAAACAAAGGAAGCATAGGTTGCCACATTATAGGGGCTGGTGTAGAAATAGTACTATTATCCATCTTTTCTCTTTTATGAATTTTGGCTGCAGATGATGATGATGATGTTGTTGTTGTTGCTGTAGCCATTGGTAGACTCTTCGCACGTGTAGAAGTATTGTATTGTGTTTCCCGACGTAGTTCTTTACATGGAGGTGTTTTCGCCGTACTCGTTTTTGAAATTGTACTCCTTACACTTAAAAACGACGGTGATGGAGAAGTCACGCGTTTTACAGAATCAGCTCTATTCCTTACCGCTGGCTTCACAACAGGTGTGTTATTATTATTATTATTATTATTAGTAGTAGTAGTAGTAGCTGTAGTAGTATTATTCATATCAGATGCGGTATAGGAATCCACAGAGGAATGTAAATAAATAGCTTTAGTGAAGGAACCATCACGAAGAAGTCGTAGGGATTCATTTATTGTGGTTTTTGCTGGTGGAGATGGTACAGAAGAAGAAGAAGAAGGTCTTTCACGTAATTGAACATGTAAGGACTCACAATATAAAATATTATCGGTATGTGAAACTAACGCCAATGTTTTCCGTACTTCTTCTTCACTAAGTGCTCGTTCCTCTACAAATAGTGGTCGAGCATCACGTGGACCTGTCGAACACAACACTTCACTTAAAGATTCACGTAAATATTCTCCAGAGATTACATTTTGTGAATGGCGTGTAGGCGTAATACCAGGATGAACTGGTTTAGACTTTTCATTTTGTGTGGAATGAACATTAAGTGAATGGGTCGCAGGGGAGTGTTCCTTTACTGTAAAAACAACCGGCATTCCCATGAGAGGATCTCCCGCATTACGTGAAAGAGAAGAGGAACTGGATCGTGTAGTACCATTACGACCATTCATTCCAACACTACCAGCACTTGTCTTTCTTGGTATACTAATACTACTATTACTACTACTATTAGTATTATTGTTATTATTGTTGGGGCTACTCTTATTGAGCACTCGGTCGCCTACAGACTTATCTCTCGTATGTGATGATGATGAAGTTTTTCTTGTAATGTTTGCCAATGGGTCCACGTGTTTACGTGATCCCTGCCGTGGGTCAGGAGTTTTCGTTATTTCATCATCAAGTGCCGTGAATGTTGTCTCAATAATGCTATCTGTTAAAAAAGAAATACGTTCGATAAGTTCCTGGCATTTTTGTTGCAGTACATCTCTGCAGCCACTACGTATGGCCAATTGTACTAGTGAAGAGACTGTATCTGATGATGCACTTAAATCAGTTTTCAAACTACTGCGTTTATCACCAGTAGTAGTAGTGGTAGTAGTAGCAGGACTTCTGTTGCCATTAGAACCAACACCCCTTCTAGAAGAAGATAAGTAGCTCATTGCTTTCTCGCTTTCCTTTGACCCTTAATTACACCGTATCTATCTATCCAATATATATATATATGTATATATTATGTGTATATATAGATATATATTTTCTTTTTTTTTTTTTGTATTTGCAGTATAGCAGTATAATTTGGTGTGGGGAGTATGATAAAAAGAAAAAGAAAAAAACAAATATCTATTTTACCCTACTATATATATATATATATATATATATATATATATATGAGAAAAAAGAAAGAAAGAAAGAAAGAAAAAAACCAAAGAAGTGATTTTAAAATAATGATCATAAAGTAAAATCACGTAAAAAACAATTAAATATTGAAAAATAAAAGATAAACATAAAAAAAAAAAAAAAAAAAAAAAAAAAAAAAAAAAAAAAAAAAAAAACTGAAAAAGAAAAAAAAAAAGAACCAGCAATTCATTCTTCTCACATAAGAAGAACCAAAAAGAAAGAAAAAAAAAACAAAACAAGCGAGAAAACTAATATTATTCACGTTTTTCATCTTTCTTTCTTTTTTTTTTTCTATTGTGTCAAAAGATTGTACAAATAAACGTACACACACATATACACAGACACAGACACCGCAAAAAGTAGTAGTAAGAAGAAGAGTAGAAACTCAAAAAGTACAAGCATAAACAAAAAAAGGAAATGAAACGAAAAATAAGAAAGAAAAAACAAAATTAACGAGTAGAAATAATAATAATAATAATAAAAAGTACAAAGCACACCAAAAGAAGCAGAACATAGAAAAGCAAAGAAAACAACAACATCAAGATCAACAACAACAACAAAAAAGAAAAATCTTTTGAATCCTTTAGCAGCCCAAATATCTCTTCACTGCCGCTACTCGTTCTCTATCCACGTGATGTTTGGCTTCCAACTCCATCAGACGTTTTTCTCGCCGCCATTCCGCCTCTTCCTGCGGTGTTCGCCGTCGTTGTGGGGAGTTGGAGTCCATTCCCGCCGTGGACTCATCCTCACGGTGTTGTTTTCTTCCCACGGATAATTCCGGTTTCGGTATATTTCGTGCATACTCTAATGCCCGTGCTCTTCGCTCTTGTGCCTGAATTCGTTCTGGCGGCGGTGGTTGTTGGGGTTGAGGGGACTTGTTGTTCACGGCGGGAGTATCCACTCTATTCTCTCCAGACTCATCCGATCCCTGTTGTTGTTGTTGTTGTTGTTGGAGTCGTTGTTGTTGTTTTTCACGTAACATCTCAGCCGCTTGTTTTTCTACCAACTCTCCATATTGACGTTGACGTAACATCTTTTCTTTGGCTTGACGTTGTTCATCCGTATCTGCTGGTCCAAGTCCTCCACGTTTCTGATTTGCCACTCGTTCCATCAAAATTCTGTATTCTTTTAAATTATGACACTTGTACGTTATTGGTTTCTTCTTTCCATCTTCCTGCTCTTCATCCTTTGCGTCTGTTAATGCAGAACCACTACTAACAGATGCAGTTGAATGTTTTGGTAAACACTGTATTGATTTCTGCTGTTGCTGCTGATGATGTGGTTGTGGTTGTTCTAGAGGTGGAAGTCGGAGTGAAAGAGGAACTGTACCGGGTGAAGGTGCAGATTTCGTTTTCGGTTTTTCTAGTGAAGGATTAGACTTGACGGTATTACTGCGGTCAAATGGTCCTTTATCTGAGGCTGGCCTCTTTGTTCCACTACCTGGTTTTTTCTTACCAAGACGAACATCATTATTTGTATTAGAAGTAGTAGTAGCTTCAGATTTCTTTACATTTCCCTTTTTCCGGTTAAAAGGATCTTCTGCAAGTAACAAACCAGTGGGTTGATATAATGGAATGGGTAGGGAATCATCTAATAGGATATCGTTATCATTATTATCATTATCATCATCATTATTATTATTATCTAAACTTTGCATCGTTGAAGGACGACCGGCTATATCTGTACTATGAACATATTCATTACCGTTATTCTGTAGTGTATCTGTAGAAGGTGTTTGTGTTGTCACTCTATTTGGTTTAGGCATTAATTCTTCCGCTTGCCAATTCATTTTACGTGGAGGAAGACGAGCTAACGGTAATTTTAATCCCTTCCCTGTTTGTAAAACAACACCCATATTCTCTAAAGGTACACGTGGAAAGGTAAATGATTCTACCGGTCTAGATGACTCTAAAGGTTCTACAGAAACAACTTCAGGAGATCTCCTTTCACCATGTGAAGAAGGAGATTTTTCTAAAGGAAGAAGACGTTGTGGCATAATCGCTGCTGTTGCCGCAACAGGATGAAGGTTTTTCTCTCCTCCCACTAATGTATTATTTACAGATACCACTCCATTGACGGTGGCCACACTCCTCACACTTCCCCGATCGGATCCATCACCGGGTAACTGACCCAACGTCAAACTATTACTACACATAGGTTTACTATAATTCCCTGGTATTTGCTGCGGTGGAATAATAGGCCGTCTTCTACGCTGTAATTCATCCGGAGCCATAATACCACCACCACCACCGCCTGTTTGTTGACCACGCCTTCGTGGGGCTGTAATAATATTGAGATTATTATTCTTCTCATGTGTGGGATGTGTATTCATATGATTATTATTCTTCTTTTTTTCGGTATTCCGTTGATTTCCATTTGCATGGTGTACACGTACGAGTTGGGCGTTACTACCGTCTTTCCCAACACGTACGGCGCGATCGGCGAAGTGACGGAGAAATTCAGAAGGCGGTGCCTCTACAGGTGGACGGTCTTCTGGCGGGTCCCACACATCCCGATCCTTCCGCGGCATAAATACAGAAGAGAAGAGAAGAGAAAAAAAAAAAAAGATAAAAATAAGAGGAGAGATGATGATAAGTATAAATAATATTACTATAATACCTACCAACTATAACTATATACCTATCTGTCCCTGTGTGTCTAAATGTGAGTGAGTGAAAAAGAATGAGAGAGAGAAAGAGAGAGGAGAGCATTTTTTTTTTTTTTTTAACCATGTACCTTCACATTTTAATATATATATATATATATTAACTTGATATAGTGCCAAAGAGTGAGTGCAAGTGAAAAAAAGTGAATAGTAAATTATGTTTTGTCTTGGTTTTAGTCGAATTTCACTCCATTCACTATCGCTATGGTTTCTCTGACTGTTCATCTATTTCTGTATGGTACGAATGAACCCAAATAAAACACACATGGTAACACAAAGAAAAGAAAAGAATAAAGAAAAGAATAAAAAAAACATCCTTTATTCTTTTCTTTTCTTCTCTACTTTCTTCCTCACTTTTTAGAAAGTACAACACTACAAATATCAAAGGAAAAAGGGTCCTGAAAAAAGAAACAACAAAGAATACTAATACCAATATGAATATGAGCATCCGACCTCAACTATACCCATCAGTATCAAGAACAACAACACCATTAGAATCATTATTAGTATTATAAATAAATAATACTAACAGTAATAATAATAATAATAATAATAATAATAATAATAATAATAAATAATAATGACAGTTATATATATATATATATATAACTATCTCCCAATTATAATGGGGAAACATTACTCTGGTACCTGGGGCCCTGGCGCAATGCACAACTTCATCGCCGCATCCAACCGTGCAATACTGCGAGTTTGTTCAACATTTTGCAATTCAAGCCGGCGTACAGAAGTGTCTCGTGATTTCATATCCCGCGCCCAGTCATCCTCAAGACTCTTCAGCAACTGTCGGCTCTCCACAAACGCACGCTCAGCAATGGCTTGGCAGTTCTCCTGTGTCTGTTTCAACACAGCCTTCGTCTTGCGGGTATACCACCAGTACGTGAGTGCACTCCCGCAACCCGTGGCAACACAGGAGCTAAGCATCCAATTACTGCTGAGTGGGCGGAAGAGTTGTTTATATACAGGGGAATTGGTAAGTGTGCTCATTTGGCTCTATTTAAACTATACCTAGGAAGAAGAAAATCTATTTGCTTATATAAATATATATATAGACTATCTTCAACTAAAGAAATATAATTTTTTTTTTTTGATTTTTTCCCTTTACCTTGTTTTATTCTGCCTTGATTTGTATTTGCTTTGCGTTTCACGAAGCGTATTTTCCTGCAAGCTACCATGTAAGATTTACAATTGAGAGAGAGAGAGAGAGAGAAAAAAAAAAAAAAAAATAAATAAGGTTTATAAAGATCCCTTCTTCTATTTATACACAAAGGAAAGAAAGGTAAAGAAATTGTATAGATATTTCTTTACCTTTTTTGGGGATTTATTTATAGTTTTTTTTTCTCTTCTTTTTTCTCAATACCGTGCCGTTATTGGAGCTCTTCAACATAAAGAGCCGTTGCTCCTTAACACTTCGTTTTGTTTTCTTCCTCTTCTTATTATTACCATCATCATCATCGCTTTCTTTTATGTTTTCCTCTTCACATACTATTTTCTCTAATCGCTCTGATGGCAATAATACTCCTTTAAAAAAAAAGGGGTATATTAGAAACTCCTGTTCTCAGATCTATAAAGGTTCCTTCCTTCCTTTCATTCATTCATTCATTTATTTCTTCCTTCTCCACATTCTTCGGTCTATTCTTACCTTTATTTTTTTTTCTTTCTTTTTTTTTTCTTCTTTGTGGTCCCTTTTCTTTTCTTTTGTATTTTGTATTTACCAGTATGAACAAGAGTAAACAAAAACAAAAAAAAAAAAAAAAAAAAAAACACTTCCATACCCCTCTCCCCTTCCATTCTTCTCATGTTGTTCAACTGTACGTGTATTCGTCCAACGAAACACCTATTCGTTGTTAATTCTCAAATATCTCACAACAGTAGAGAAATAAAGCAGGCATACGAGGTTTCTCCATCTATCCTTTTCTATAGCATACTACTACAACCAAGTACACTCAAAGAGAAGACCATCCCCCTTGCAGCAACACATATTCCTGCATAAAAAATGAAAGAAAAAATATAAGAAAAAAAGAAAAAACACACACACACACACATACATAAAAAGATACAGACACACACATATACAAACAAACAAATACAAACAATGTAGCTTATATATATATATATATATATATATATATATATAAATGCACTATCTATGTAGGCTTTATATATGCAAGTCCGCGCACATAAAATGAAACATCTAGTCGTTCTTCTTATTACGGCGTGCCTCCATCTTCCGTGCGATAAACTTGAGCAACTCATCAACGAATATCACAGGAATGCTGAATACCATCACTGCCTTCCAATCATCAAAATTTGATGGAATAAGAATACTCCATGGTTGTGCATTCTGTACCACTTGCGGATCAACACCCAATGGAGCAATATTAAAAAGTGAGGCAAGGAAGGGAACATACATGATGGTCACATGTAAAGCCAGTGAAGAGAAAATGGCAAGTAAAAGCCAAATATTAGTAGATGGTCGTGTTGTGACCAGTGAAGCATTTTCACTTAATGCATTCAAAGCATTCAGCATCTCCACCACCACCAGAATAGATAACGCAATAGCCCGAGCAGTTTCCGGATTAGCAAGGATAGCACATGTTGTATTTTCCATATCTGTACACATCACATATGTTGTCAACTGTGTCCAAGTAAAACCATGACTTAAGAACCACCATAAAAATCCTCCAACTGTAGCGAGACCCACATAAGTTCCAATAATCATGTAACGAAGAAAGAGCCAACCATTTACAATCGGTTCATCAATACGACGTGGTTCCTGTTCCATGATATTCACATCTGGGGCATTAAAGCCGAGTGCCGTTGCTGGAAGACCATCTGTTACGAGATTTACCCATAAGAGTTGTACAGGTGATAAGGCTTCTGGTAATCCAAAGAGACCAGTGACAAGAATACACGCCACCTCACCAATATTACTACTAATAAGGTATCGAATAAATTGTTTGGTGTTATTAAAAATAGAACGACCTTCACGAACAGCTTTTACAACAGTTGCAAAATTATCATCTGCCAATACCATTTTACTTGCTGCCTTTGCCACCTCTGTTCCACTTCCCATAGCAATACCAATATCCGCCTTCTTTAACGCAGGGGCATCATTCACACCATCACCAGTCATAGCACAAATAAGTTTTTGCTCCTGCAGTAACTTTACCAATTGCATCTTGTGAGATGGATCTGTGCGGCTAAAGAGCACAGCTGTCATGACGGCCCGTCGCTTCTCAGCAAGAGTCATAGCATCAAACTCACGTCCTGTATAACTCCAACCTTCTGTGTTTGTTGGCATTAAACCAAGTTTTTTACAAATGGCTTCTGCTGTTTCTTTGCGGTCGCCGGTGATCACCACAACGCGAATACCTGCAGTTCGACACTTGGCAATAGCCACGGCTGCCTCCTCACGTGGTGGGTCTAACATTCCACAGGCACCAACAAATGTGAGTTCAGATTCCATCTTCTCAAACTCTGCGGGGTCGCCGAGGCGTAATTCCTTTACTGGCTTTGTTGGTTTAAATGCAAAGGCAATACAACGGAGGGCACGTTGGCCACCTGCCATGTTGTTAAGTTGTGTAGTAAGCCGGGCGCGAAGGGCGGCGGTGAGGGGAACGACAACACCATCTTCTTGCATAATATTCTGTGAGCGGCGGAGGAGTTCCTCTGGTGCACCCTTTACAAAGAGACTGTGAAGACCAGATACAGAAGTGGAAGTGGCATGTACACTCATTGATTTACGTTCTCGGGTAAATTCAAGAGTGGCATTTTTAGTCCATTTACCTTCTGCAAGTTTGCGGAATTGATTTACATTTTGGCAGTCTGTTGGGTTAGCAAGTTTTTCACCCATTACCAAAAGTGCCGCCTCTGTGGATTCACCAACCTTTTCCACTTGACCTGAACTCGTATTATATTGTAAGGATGCATCATTACATAAAACAGCAATATTGGCAATCATACCGAGTGCAGCATCTGATTCTAATGCAGATGAAACTGGTTTACCTCCAGAGGTTACAGCATTTGGAATTAAATTATATTTAGAGTCTTTAAGTTCATACTCTTTTAATTCTCCATCTTGTTGTAATGTAAAGACTTCCAAAACAGACATCATATTGGTTGTAAGAGTACCAGTTTTATCAGAGCAAATAACTGTGCATCGACCAAGAGTTTCAACGCTTGGTAAATCACGCACTAAAGCGTTATGTTGTGCCATACGTCGAGTTCCAAGTGCCAGACAAGTCGTCACCACAGCAGGAAGTCCTTCTGGAATGGCTGCAACTGCGAGAGCTACAGCAACTTTTAAACAATGAACTGCAGGTTCTACATAGCGTTCATACCACATTTCATTTGGTGAAGGTTTATGAGCCGTATACCAACGTAACATATTAATTACAAAGACGGAAAGACAAATATAACCAATAACCTTTGATAGTAATACACCAAATTCATCCAATTTTATTTGTAATGGTGTTTTAACTTCCTCTTGCTCTCTCACATCACGTTCAATCGTGCCAATTTCAGTAGAAGCTCCTGTACGTACAACAACGCAAAGGGCTTTACCATATACAATAGCGGTTCCACTATATACCATACTGGCAGGGAAACGATCTTGATGACTTTTTACAGCTTCCACTTGTTTAATAGCCTCTACGGATTCACCATTAAGGATAGATTGATCAGCCCGTAGTGTAGTACTGTGTAACTCCAGAACTCGCATATCTGCAGCCACACGGTTTCCTACAGCCACTTCAACCAAATCACCTGGAACCAAATCCTCCGCTGGTACAGTAAAACTTTTGCCATCACGTAAAACCACTGCAGTTTCAGGTACAAAAGATTTAAGAGCTTCAATAGCACTTTCTGCACGATTTTCTTGCCAGACTCCAACTGTGGCGTTAAGTACAAGAATTAAAAGAATAATAAAAGGTTCAACAAAGTCTGCAGCATTCTTTTCAAATAGAGCCATAATAAAACTTATCATAGCAGCCAAAAGAAGAATACGAACAAGGGTGTCTTCAAATTGTGCTAGTACCAATTTCCAAAAAGGTGTTGGTGCCTCTGCAGGTAGTTCATTCTTACCAAACTTCTGACGACGTTCTTCCACTTCAGTAGAGGAGAGACCACGTTTAAGTTGCACATTTAAGGCTTTTATCACTGACCCTGCCTCCATTGAGGATGGGTGTGTTGGAAGAGTCTCCAACACCATGGTTATTTTAATGGCTTTGTAGTATATAGTATAACTATATTTATATATACAAGTATATAAATATATATACCACCCTTATGCCTATCAAACTATGCTTTTTTTATTTTTTTATTTTCTTTCTTTTCTTTTTTATTACTATTTCTTATTTTTTTTTTTCTCGCAAGTTACTAGAAGCAATAAAGAAAAGTAAACAACAACAACAAAAAAAATAGAATATTTATAATTTATTAATAGAACGATAAAGAATGAACTGTCAGAATAATACTAATAAAAAAAAAGAAAAGAAAGAAACCAGAAACAAACAAAACGGAAAAAAAAAAACATTTCATGTATTCAACAACATTAAGATTCACCACGAAAAATACAGCATTGCTAAAAGAGTTTAATCTTTCTTGCCTTGCGTTGTTTGATAGGACCTTTCCGCTGAGTCGCTGCCCCATCACGTGCTCCAGCAGCAGAGGATGACAACTCCAATTCTTCCGTTCCATCCCATGTATCTTCAGCACGATCCATTAATTCTGGTGGTCCCGCCTCATACTTTCGGAAAAGATATTCAATTGAATACTTCCATCGTTCTTCATCATATTTTTGACGTTCTAACAATTTTTCATATTCGCGTGGTGTTTTTGGAATTTCTGCGTGTACACCATGATCCACCACAGGTAAACCAAGTAAGGCATAGGCCTCTGGAGTGGCATAAATAGCATACCGCTGCGGCATAAGTTCCTCCCGCATAAATCGTCTACTAACATACACCGTCTCAAACTTACGTCCAAACCAGCAATTTTTCTTTTCATTAAATAAATTCACGAGAAATATAACAGGAATACGAATACTAGGTATTAATCGTGGTTCTCCCACTTCCAATAATGCCTTATTACGAACGGTGCATGGATAGGGCCTTGGCAGATATCGGATATCATACTCCCCCGGGCGGTGTTCACTCATTGGATAGCGGGTGGCATTCTCCTGCATTCGCATGGAATACGTGGAGAGGGCCATGCGCTTCCAGAACGGCGTGCGGGCGAGTCGGTCGCTGTACCCCCGCGAGACGCCGAAGGGGCCGCCGACTTCACCGGCGGGGGGCGGCGGGACCGTCACTTTCACATCGTGGCGGGGCGGCGGCACCCACGGGGCCACACACCTCACACCCGAACGACGCATTTATAGAGGGGGTGCGGGAATATATATATATATATATAATATGGGTAAGTATGTGTGAGTGAGTGAGTGAGTGAGTGTTGTTTGGGTTTGTTATTACTATGATGGGATTTCCTTTCGCTTGTGTTTCTCGGTAGCAATATATGTATATACACAGACACACACACACACAAACACAAACAGAAAGAGAAGGAGAAAAGGGGGACTTCTTTTCCCTTAACACCTCTACTTCCCCTCTAATGATAATAAAAGAAAAAATAAGAAAAAGAAGATATATCAGCATGGGGTTCAGGGATAAGAGGATAGATAGATAGATAAAGGGGTAAAATAAAAATGAGAAAGACTCTTCTTTTTTTTTTTCTGTATCATATAATAAGTAATGGAAAGAAAAAAATAAAGGAGTTTATTACATAGGATAACAATAACAATATTAACACATTTCCTCTTGTCTTGTTTTCCTCTTCACTCCTCAAACTCTTCTTTTTTCTCATAGTTAATCCTCAATATTTTCTTAATACTTCAATTATCTCACATTCGTACCGCAGCCAAAAGATATATATATATATCCTCACAACAGTGTAAACATACGCCAGAACTCCATTACAACAACTCCAAAGGAATAGCAGCAGTAACAACAGCAGAGAAAAAGGAAACATGATAGACAAAAAACAAAAGCAAGAGAAAAAGGGAGAAATAGAAAAAGTAAAGAAGAGTAAAAATAAGAAAGAAAGAAAGGGAGAAATAAAAGAGACGAGTGATAAGTCAGTAAAACAAAGATAATAAAAAAAGAGAATAGAGAATTAAGTGAGAAAGATAAGCAAAGGTGGATGAAAAGACTCGATATAAAGAAGGTAAGAAAAAAAAAAAAAAAAAAAGATCCATACCCAATGCTCATTAATTTTCATCACTCTGAAGACTCCAATATAGTTTTAGTAAGTATTCACAAGAAAAGAAAAGTATAAGATCATATCACTCTATTTATTTGCTGTTCTCTCCTTTTAAGAAAATAAAATAAAAAATTTCTCATTCCCTTCTTCTTCTTCTTTTTCTTCTTCTTCTCTTTTTCACCCACTAAATTGAATCTGTAAAGAATCATCAATCACCTTCATTAACTCTGGATGTCGCCACTTGGTGTATGCTAATATGATTGATGAGATCCATTCAGACCACCATGCTCGTAATAACATACGAAATATATACCACTGAGACATGGATCCACAAGCCACTCTTGTAGAGTATCGCAACATGCGAAGTGGTCTATTCACAGGTTCAAGCAATTCCTTATTAATAGCCTTGGCTGCCATTATATTACGAAGAACGAGAGCATATTCTTTTGGTAATCTAGATACAATATCATTTACCTCATGCATTTTACTTCTTACTTGTTCTCTCATTAACTCCTGTGTTGCCTTTGATGTAAGACGAGAATCACTACTATAATATTCATATGGATGTTGTAAGAAACAAGATGCAAAGAGTGCGTAATCATCACAACCAAATCCCTTGGCAATATTCTTTAGTGTAGGAGTATCATGTGTTACTGCTGCTGTCCATATAGAGGCTAGTAAAATACGCTGCTCATTTGAGAGTTCCGCACAGAGACCAAAATCGAGTAATACAACTTGCGGTTGTCCATTTGGTAAACGATGAACAAGAATATTTCCTGCGTGTGGATCACCATGTAAAAAACCCGTAATAAAGAGTTGATATGAAAGAGCATCAAAGAACCACTTAGCAGCAGTTTTAGGATTAATTCCAAGAGCCTCCATTCGTTCTCGATCTGATATCTTTGCCGCATTTGATATTAATCGTGTTGTTAACATTCGTTGTGTTGTATACTCTCGAAGTACTTCCACCGCTATAACGCGATCACTAAATCCACCTGCTTTTAAATCACGTGAGGCCCGTTCACAGTTATCCGCTTCTAATCTAAAGTCCAACTCATTCGCAACGGTGTTATTTAACTTTGAAACAATCTCAGAAAGATCATATCCACGGAAAAAGAATCCAGCTACACCTAACATTAATTTAATAGTCCGCATATCACCAGAAAAACGTTGGGCAATATCCATATACTGCACCTTTACCGCAACTTCTGTATGATCTTTTAATTTCCCACGATGAACTTGTGCCAATGATGCGGCTGCGATTGGCTTTGGGTCCAATTCCATAAACACATCGCTTGCTGAACAGCCCAATTCCCGTTCAATAGTTGTGAGAACTTCCGGAAAAGGTCTCGTCATGACGGCATCCTGAAGAACAGCCATTGTTTTACAATACTGTGAGGGTAAAATATGACTCATATTTGCAAATATCTGTCCAGCCTTTACATAGAGACCACCATTGGCCTCAGCGAGGGATACTAATCGCTTGGCACTGCGTAAGTGAACCTCATTCCACGCTGCCGCAATCGCCGCATTATCACTATCACTATTATCACCATTTCCCACTCCGCGGAGATTCCATTGATAATCCACTAATATATTTCCAGCCACATATACACAACGACAGACACGGCCAACTCCTTCTAACAACACACGTGTGGGAAGTAAAGGCACCGGCAGCAATTCCAGTGGTGGTGTTAACACTACACATGTGGCGACGGCTGTGCCGCAGAGGGCGTAGCCAATAAAGCGGCAGCCGAAACGACGTCGAGGCCGTTGAGATAATCTCAGAGGCATTTTAAGAATCATTCTAATAACAATAACCAATAATAACAATAATGATAATAATAAATTAAATTTATACTAATGGTGATTTTTATTGGGAATAATAAATTTATAAGAAAGAAAGGGAATAACCTTCTGTTGTACACTCTGCTAAGGGAAAGGGGGGAAAAAAAATATGGCAAAGAAATCAGGAAAGAAAAACAAAAGAAAAAAAAAATACATATATACATGAGAAAGAGAAAAAGAAACATAATAAAATACCAATAAGAAAAGAATAAATAAAGGGAATGGAGGGGGGTGGATGGTAGTAAATAAATCCATTCCACACCACTTGTGAAGTGAAAAAAAAAGGTAAAAAAAAAAAAAACGTAAACAGTTTAAAGATTCATTGAATGCGCTTAATTCAAAAAGAGACGTATAAAAATCATTTTATATGTCTTGTTATCTGCGTCGTTTTTCTGATTTCTAAAGGGGATATTGATCCTGCGAGAGGAAAAGCAAATCAACAACAACAACAACAAAAAAAAATGACTTTCCATTTATTCACACATGTAGGGAAATCTAGATAGATAGAGATAGAGCGACAGAGAGAAAAAAATCAAAAAAAAAAAAAAAAACGTCAAGAATCATAATGTACGTGTGACTTTCCCTGTTATATATAATGAAACGTTTTTCGGATAGTTTACTTTAGTATTTCTCTCTTGGGACTCATACCCTTTCCATCCCAATGGATTATTTAATCCATCCATCTATCCATTAATCAATTACCATCACTTCTTCTTCACTTTCCTCAGAATCAGAAAGAATCACAATATCCCCCTTTGAATCATCTTTACCACCATTTTTAGAAGGTGGCGCATCATTACCAGCCTCACTAGTAGTATTAGTAACAACTGCAGCAGCCTTTGATTCCATGATAAGAGTTTGTTCTAACTGTAGCGCTTTATCTAATCCCTCCATTGTTACTATATTTCCTTGATCCTGTTCCTCTTTTTCACAGTGTTCAACAATAACTCTCCATTCCACTTCGTGATCAAGATCATCAATGACAAGTTCAAGTGGTTTCCTGTCTGCTGTCATTAGTTCTATAAGAGGTGTTGTGGATAGTGACTCATACTCACCTTCCTCATACAACACATTCGGTCCTGAGAAAATAGAAGCTCCTGACATGGATAGTTTATCCCGCAATACATGAGCGGCAAAAGTACCTAAAGTGGTAGAAACAGCATCCAATCGCACCCGAACTGTTGGATGACAATCACGACAGACTAAACAAGAAGCATTAGGTGGGTTTGGTGGAGCACTATGAACAAGAAAAAGATCTGTTGTCCATCGTTGTTTTTGTTTTTGTTTATTATTATTATTATTATTATTAATATCGTTGTGATTACCGTCCGCGTCGATAATACTATCATTACTGTTATTATTCGTACATGGAAGACGTCTTCGTCTTATTTGCGGGGCTCGACGTACATACACCATCTGTGGAGAAGCATAGGAAGAACGAGAAGAAGTTTTCTCTGCTTCTTCAGCGGCCAGCACACATAATGCCTGTTGAACGACTGCAGCGGCCACTACCGCATTTGTAGTGGCAATCGCTGGCACAATCGCACCGGCAATACTGCGAATTTCTTCTACAGAATGAGGCGGTACAATGTGAAAAACATATGCACGAAGATTAGATACAGCGGCAATGAAATCTACCGTGTCATCATCTTCCTTTTTAAATGGTATCCGTGTATTTCGCTGTGCACATCGTACAAAGGAATGAATAAAAAGTGCTATAGTCTCTTTAAGAGAAATCGCATTATCTCTGGAAGTATCAGAAACAGAATTTTCCAATTCATCTCTTTTTATCTGTTCCGCTACATCTTGTACAATTTCCTTATCTAATGGAACAGGGGGAGTAGTAGCCCAGACAGACTTCATTGCGAGTAATTCACTTATCTTTTCCCGAAAGAGACAATCAGCAAGAGCAATCGCCGTATTTCGCAAGTCTTCTATATTATTTATATTCCTTTGATTTTCTTCTTCTTCTTCTTTCTTTTCATCTCGTTGTTTTTGTTTTTCTTGTTGTTTTTGTTTTTGTTGATCTAGAAGAATCTCCACAAACCCCAATTCATCCTCCTGTTCCCGCTGTCCATCCCCGAAGAGCCGCTCATACAATTCCTTTGCATAATGTACACAGTGGACCATAGTGGTAGGCCGTGCGTGAATTGTACACACCGCCACTGTCTGTTGTTGTGCAGACTTTGGATGACAATCATAACACTCAAAGCGGCCCCGCACAATTGGCTGCACTTGTCCATTATATCCCATCGTACCACTTTCAATCAATGGCACTTCTGCACGCATACACATACGATTAACATGTTGACGTGCTCCTACATTATCAAGGGCATTTAATACGAGAGCAAACTGACGAAAGAAGGTCTCATCATAGGTGCTATCTTTAATATTTGCATGATGGGCATGAATAACAGGAATAGGACGTGTAGATGTACAAGTGGATTCACATGTAAACCAACGAAGAATAGCGGCACGTGCAGTTAAGGCTTTTGAGGCGCCAACATCTTCACGTTCAAAGAGAAATTGTCTATTAAGATTCGTGGCGTCAATCGTGTCAAGATCTACAATATCTATAGCGGTAAAACCACGGAGTACCAACACTTTAAGTAATTCACAGCCAATACCTCCAGCCCCTACAAGTAAGAGACGACGGTTTAACAATAAGGAATCTGTAGAATTATCCTTCATATTATCAGCATAAACTCCCAAAATACGTTTTTCATTACCTTCCTTCTCTTTCATTGACACACCGCCTTGAGAAACTACTGCTGCTGCTGCTGCTGTTTCTTCTTTTTCTTCTTTCTCTTCCTCTTTTGTTGTTAGTATTGTTGGAGTTGTGTTTGGCAGTAAAACCGTGCGGTCCTCCCAATATAATGGCAATTGATTCCATACATCTCCATTTGGTAAAACAACTGTCAATTCACACAACCGTGGATAACAGGCCGCCATCTCCACATCTTCTCTTGTCACTCCATTAGGCAGTAAAAGAGATGTGTGCATAGGTGTAGTGAGAGCCATTGTGAGAAGACCACGCACAAAGCAAAAAGAAGCACCTCTTCTTCCCTCATGTATATGAACCTCCAATTCTGGTAAAGAATCCATTAAGACACCATGCTTTTCTTCTTTTTCTTTTTCTTGTTCTTGTTGATACTGTTGAAGTGCGTTGTGGGCTGCGGCGATGAGGGATGCCTGTGGGATGGACTCCTCATGTTTAAACCGTTTCGCCTCACTCGCCCCGGCGGAGTCGCACACAACTGCGGGGAGAACACGAGGGAACAACACATGCGCAACTCCCACTCGCATCGTAACAAGACTGTTAAATACCCAAAAAGCGAGAAAAGAAATATATATATATATATATATATATATATATAGGAAAAAGAAGAAGAAATAAAAGAATATAAATAAATAAATAAAACGATCAGGGAGCTAATTTTTCTGTTGAGATCAAGAGAAAGAAAAAGAAAAGCAACGCGTAGAAAAAAAATGAGAGTATATGCCATTACAAATGGATGTTTTTTTTTTTTTTTTTTAAGATACTGAAGACTTTTCTAATATTTCTGTTGCTCTTATATGTCTCGCAAGTGCATCCTTCTTCTCCAAGTAGAGTAAATCCCGCACCACCTTTGCCATTGTAAATCGCCACTGATGAAACTCATGGACTGTTAATCGATACTGCAATACGGTATTGTTATTATTATTATTATCACTATTACTATTACTATCACTATTATTACTCTCATCATTACTAACTGTGATGGACAGACAAATAATAGGAACACCCACACGAGGGAGTTCTCCAGAGGCGATAAGAACGTCTAATGTCCAATCCACATCCACAATGCGTTGGCGGGGAATAGAAGCAAGTGGTGTGGTAAGAGACATGACTAAAATACTATTTTAATAAATACGTTAAGAAAGGTGGGGGAATAATAATAATAATAATAATAATAATAATAATAATAATAATAATAATAATACTGATAATAATGTCAACAGTACTAACAAGAAGAAAAATAGAAAATAAAAACAAACCGTTTAAAATCCAAACACCAAACCCTCTAAACAAGTGAAAAAACTAAATATTAATAAAATAATAATAAAAGACCAAAGAAAAAAAAAGGGGAAAAAAAAGAATAAACTTTACAAACGATCCCGCCATCCCTTTTACTTCTCTAAAGTTCTGCTTTAGCTTACATTTTCACCTATTCTGTAACTCTCTGTTCCTCATACGAGGTTTTCGTTATTATTTTACTCTGTTCATAATACCAGCACAAAATAATAATAATAATAATAATAATAATAATAATAATAATAATAAAACATAGATTCTCTCTCCATTCTGCTGTAGCTTCTCCACAAAGTCTATTATATATAAAGAGATATCCCATTTGCTCTATTTCCTCTTGTTCTTACATTTGGGGAGGCGTAAAATGCAGCAGCAATGCCTGCCACTGTCACTATACGTTGTCTCTCCTCCTCCGTCACATCTCCCAAACAAAGTAATGCGGGATCTGGCAGTGCTTCACTAAAGATCTTGTTATTATTACTGATGTTATTATTATTATTATTATTATTATTATTATTATTATTATTATTATTATTATTATTATTAAATGAGTGAACAGGACCCAGACGCTTGTTGGAAGAGTGTGATCGCATCACCGCCCGCTCCAGCCAGTTTGGCTCCACATGTACAGCACGACAGGAAGGGGGAACCGCACTATTCAGACGATCACACGTTGGTATAAAGGGTTCTTCCAGAGAAACAGCAGCAGCAACACTATCATTATCATTATCTTCTTCTTCTTCACTATTATTATTATTATCATTATCATTATTATTGTTATTCTCTTCTTTGTATCTGTTTTCATTAATGTTTCTGTTTACTCTATCGTCATTCCGTACATCCATGTAGGAAGTTCGATACTTTTTCAGTGGTTCATCACGCATTACGTAATGCATACCATTATATTCTCTCTTCATTGCGGCTCCATACATTTCCTCTGCGGCATCAACATCCCCTGTTGTTAATATTGCTGCTGCTGCTGTTTCCTCTATTACTGGAGGTGTGTGTGAGAGTAATTTCACTCTGCAGGTTTCTGTGGGAGATGACTGTGGCACTTCACGCGGCTCTTCGAGTCGTGGACGTCTTGCATTTGGAAGAACGTAACCGTGCAGCAAAGTGCGGCGCCGCCTTAACATCACACTATATATATATACAAAGGTGAAAAAAGAAAAAAGAAAAAATAACAATAGAGTTAAACAGATAATGAGAGAAAGAGAAAGAGAGTACAAAAAATCATAAACATATATATATATATAAAGTACCCATTTATGTGGGATCAGAAGGAGTATAAAGAAAATAAAGTTGAAAAGCAATAAAAAAGAGACACAAATAAAATAAAAAAAAAAGAAATAGGAATAGGGAATAAAAAAAAAAAAGACAAATCCAGGAAGAAATGCCAAACCACAACAAGAGAAAAAATCAGACCTGTATAGACAAAGTCCTGAAAGTTTCTTGTCACAGGGTAAAAGCAAACTAAAAAAAAAAAAACAAGAAAAAAAACAAGAAAAAAAAAAAAAAAGAGAAGGTGCATGAAATCAAGGTTTCTCCCTCAGATAAAGATGTTTTTTTCTTTTTTTTTTTTCTTTTTTCCCTTCCATTCTTATTCTCTTATGGTTTTGCGCACCCATTTCCCTCCTTCTTCCTTCCCACTCTTTACTCCTTCTCTACCTCCCGTACATTTCCCCCCTCTTCTTCCTTATCTTTTCCCTCACCAGAGGCCGACACGGCACGCCTTAGTGTCTGCACTTGTCCAGACAACACCTTCGCGTCGGCATCGCGCTGCAGCAGTCCAGTGACGAGAGCAGCGAAGCCACCAACCGCCCCAACAACTGTGAAGAGTGGTGTGAACGCCTGCCAGAGACTACGGCCGTGAATAAAGGAGGCGACCTGCGCGTAATCCACACGACTCTCGCCGTTTTGCATCAATGTTGGGATATTATTAGTACCGCTGGCAGTAGAAGTAGAAGTACTGAAAGGTCGCATAGAAACCACTTTTTGTATCCATTGCTTAAGAACAGAAGAAAAATCTCCAGATTCCAATTCTAACATTTCGTTCCGTAATGGAGTAGTGGGAAGTGTGGCTAAAGTGACAAGTCGCTCCAGTAATAATTCTGTTTGTCGTGCTCGTTGAGTTTGTTTATACATGGAAAGGAGAATATTCCCAACCACAAAAGCAAGGGAAGCAAATCCAATGTATACACATACTTTACTTTCATATTGCATAAGCTTTACAGAGTCTCCAAGATATTTGGTGGCCTCACGCAAAACTGCTAACTCTTCCTCTGTTAATTCCACAGAAGAAGTTGCTTCTTTTTTCATCTCATCTGTATCAGATGATTCCAATGAAAATTGCAGACGGGCTGCCACACCATAATGATCAGAAAGAGCACAAGCTTGCTTTTTCTTTTCTACAGACTTTGTTGTTGTTGTTTTTGTTTCTTTTACTTCAGGTGATATCAAGTTTGCCATGTTAATAGCCGTATGACATGATGTTGAGTTCCCTTTACTACGAAGCCAATCTGCAAAACGTGCAAGATATCCTTTTTCAGGTGGAAGTTGAACTTCATCATTTTGAGTGAATACAACAACTCCAATAGGAACTTCTTTATCATCTTCTTCTTGTAAAGTAAATGGATAGCCTGGTGCGGCATTTGGACAATCATCATATAAACAAAGAGATAATGTATTACTTGTATAGAAAATATGATCAATCTGACAAGGTACATCCCCACCTTGTACCAACCATCCTTCTGCAGTGGTATTAAACATATTTGCATCTGAAAACGTTAACATGGATGCATGTGCAGACCGTTCTTTACCTTGCATACATGCATTGTGTCCATTTACAGATGGAAGTACAGGACGAAAATGAAATCCACGTTGACGAAGTAAAATCATCATTGTTTGTATTTCCAATGAACGTTGTGTGGCGTTAAAATCACCTCCAATAACAACACATTCATCTGGTCTTGATGTCTCTGCAATAAAATTGGCAAATGATACTGCCTGGCTTAATCGAATCGGTAAATACAATTCATGTCGCCAATCCCGCAAACGGGCAGTTTTTTGATACATCGCAACAAGATGTGTAGAATAAAATGAAACCTCCTTATACATTAAGTCATGAGATCCTTCTGTGGATCCTTTATCTTTCCCTATTCCACAGGGAACATTCACACGAACCAATGCGGCTCCTTTATTGGCATAATAATCCCCATGAAGAACACGCTCTGGAAAACCTTGTAATGGAAATGTAAAGAAAATTGCAGAACTGATGGGAAAGCGTGAGATCACGGCAACACCAGATCCATAGAAGGCAGTAGGAAAACGTTTAATATACCGCGTGGCCCGTATTTCCTCTGGGAGACTTTGCATGATTAGTTCATAATCGGATAGAGAGAAAAGTTCTTGCAGGAGAATGACATCATACTGCGCCACTTTAGTGGCAAAATGGGCCATACGCTCTTTACGGTGTTTGGAGTTAAATATTCCCCATAAATTATACGTCAGAACTGTAATAGAAGTTGACATATTTCCTTTTCTTTTTTTTTTATTTTTGGATCTTTTTTTTTTCCTTCCTCTTTTTCTTTTTTTCTTAGTTCCTGTTATGATTCCGTTCTTTTCTTTTTCTCTCTTTGTTTGTGATTGTTCCTGTGATTTTTTTTTTTTTTTTTACTTTGCTTTCTTTTTTTGGTTTCTCTCTCACTTTCTATCTTTACTTCACTCTTCTTATTTTCTTTCTAATCCCTCAGAGGTGCCAACTGTATTTTCTTTGGTTCCTCAGAGTTTACGTTATTTCTTTTCTTTGACTCTTTTTTCTTTTTTTTTCTCTCTTCTCTACAAGAAGATGTAGTCGCAATAAGAATATTACTCTCACTCACTAACTCACAGATCAACTCAATACTTCCTTAACTATCACTATGGTGCCAAATAGAAGGAGGAAGAGAAAAGAAATAAGTAAATAAATAAAGAAGAAAAAAAAAAGATGATGATAATTTCTCCTTAGCGTCTCTTAAGCAAATTTTCTGTTAATGCGTGTGATTAAACTACTTGCGTAATAATAATAATAATAATAATAATAATAATAATAATAATAATAATAATAATAATAATAATAATAATAATAGTAATAATAATTAGTATCAGTAGTAGATTGTAAAAATATTTTTATATTTTTCTTTTCTTTTTTCATACTAACACCTACCGAGAAGAGAAAATAATATCTTCCGCTTCAAGAGCGTACTTCACGACACGAGTACCACTGTAAACAGCAGCAATAAAAAATAAAATTCCATTAACTATTATCCCCCGCATAATATCACGATAATCTACTTCCCGCCAGAGAGGAAATCCACATCCAATGAGAGTAAGAATTGCCAGTGCCATAGATATCACAATATGTTTAGAAAAAATGTGATAGTTGATCATCATTACGGCAGTAAGAATAACGAGAATAGTAAAGGAAATATACAATATGAATACCAATACGCTTAACATGATGCCTTGTGTACATGGCATGATGGAGATAATAAGAGAAATATATACAGCTGCTGTAAGAATTCCTATACACCACACATCACCCTTCTCCGTAAGAGATATACCAAATAATGTTTGCGTTTTCTTTTCTTCTTCCTCTTCTTGTTGTTGAGAAGGTTGTTTTTTTTCCTTTTCATTTCTCAATACATTCCCTGAAGGATTATGGTAAATATCCTTATAGTTTCGCTGAAGCCAGATACACATTATATGTAAACTACACAGACAAGCAGTTGGTGTTAGAAAGATCATAAAATACATGGATCTCTGATGATTACCCCACGCTAAAAATAAATATCCAGTTATATCACTAAACACAAGAAACCAACAACACATAGCCATTTGTTTTACAATATACACACCTTGTGAGAGAGACTTCATAATAGTGGGAGTATCTTTAGATCTTCTATTCTCCACACACTGAACTCCATCCTGTTGATCTCTCACATTGGCTTTATTATTATTATTATTATTATTATTATTATTATTATTATTATTATTTTCTTGTTGTTGTTGTCGTTCTTCCAAAGCGGATCTTCGCTCAGAGGTGGAGTTAAACATGACTGGTGGTGCATGCCATCTATACACCAATAACGCGAAAAGTGGAATTGCATGCAGTAAGGCCACAGAAAGAATAGTGATATTCACAAATAATTTAAATGCAGAACTGATAACTTGTGATCCAGTGGCTGTTGTGAAGAAGGAGACTAAACTCTTAAAGAACCAAGTCCATGGTAACAAACCTAAATACTCTGAGATGAACCAAATATTACTGGCGGGGACTGGACAATAAACGTTTCTTGTGGAATTAACGAAAGAGAGACAATTCATATTCCCTGCCTCTACACCACCACTCACGGAAGTAGCATGAGGAGAAATCGTATGCGGAATAAAAGAAAACGAAAGTAATGCAGAGAAATTTATTATTTCTAATGCTGGAATAGAAGTAGTAGTTGTAGTAGTAGTAATTGTTGTTGTTCTTGTTGGTCCTACTATTCTTCTCATATCCAAGGGAAATGTAAATGGAGATATAACAGTATAAAGGAGATTCCCATTAGAAATAACAGAAGAGAAGAATGGAAAGAACATCACCGCAACAACAATTACGGTTATCATTAACAACTCTACAACAGTCCACCAAAAAAATACTTTATCCTTATAACAGGAAAACCCAACAAGTATCATTTCTTTTCCAGTTGCTGTTGTTATTCTTCTTCTTCTTCTTCCTCCTTTTCCTTTTTCTTCTTCTCCTTTCGATTGAGAAGATAAGGTTTCTGCTAATACAAGCACTGGGTGAAAGGCCCATTGATAACAGGCCGTCACTGTCCATACGGCAGCCGCAAGTGTGAGAGAAACCACACGTGGCTCTACTCCACACGCCAAACATAATAAAAACCAAAATAATAATAAATATGAAAGTGTTGGGATCCGCCACATTGGAAAACAGTGAATTCCACCTTCACATACAATTGGTTTAGAAAGATCAAATTGTTTAAAATCTTTCATATGAGAAGATACATAAGGGTGAAGTCTGGTCTCATCCTTTAAGAGAAAGTAAAGGGCCCATAAACACAACACAGATCCTAAAGCCACAGGCCGTGTTGAAATCACTTCTGCAAGAAGTACAGGTAGAAGAATAAGAAGAATAATAAAAGTTCCTACTACTGTCATTTGTCGTTGAATGACAGCTTTCTTTTCTTTTGGAATACTTTCTTCTTTTTCTTTTTCTTCCTCTTCTTCTTCTTCCTTTAATAAGAGTGTAGCAACTCTTCTACTCCACAACCATGCAGCTGAAAACGATAAGGAAAGAAATATACAGAGTGAACATAATATCAGTAGTAACTGTAATGAAGACTCTTTCTCTTTCGTACTTTCTTCTTTTTCTTTTTCTTTTTCTTGTAGAGATCTCATTTCGTTAGGCCATAATGTGATGTTTAATCTCTGCAATAGTAACAACAATAGAGCTCGTAATGGTGCAATACCTTCCATCAATACACTTTTCTTGTTTTCATACCAACACTGTATAGACTGCCATTGTGTATAATAGTGACGATGATGATGATGAATCCAATCCATAGTTGTATGCACATCCGGTAGTGTAGAGAGCGGCGTGGCTGAAAGGAATGTGAGAAGAGAAAGAGAAGTGATGTATAAAAGAATGATAACTAAACAAATTGTAAAGAGATTCATTCTATACTCTAATCCAATGATCTTTATTTCTTTGGTTTATATATATATATATATATGGATAAGGGGGTTTTCCTTCTTTTTTTTTTTGCTCTCTTTCTTTCTGGTTACAGTTATCTATACTGAATTATTAAAGAAAAGAAGAAAAGAAAACGTTAAGAGAGAAATAATGAGAAAATAAGAAAAAAAAAATAATAATAAAATAAAATAAATAACGAATTCATTTATTCAAAATAAAGACCATAATAAAATATGGCAAGAGACACATTCACAAAGTACAAGAAAAAAATATATAGGAGTGGTGTTAACACGCAAGAAATAAAAATAAAAATAAAAATAAATTAATAAACGCCAAATTAGTTCACTACTACGAGAAATTTTTCCTTTCTTCTTATATTCTCTCCTTTTCAACTCACTCGCAACTCTTTGGTTTTCCCTAATGGAATCAACTTTTATACCCTCTTCCTCTTCTTCTTCTTTGGGTTTAATGTTGTCCTTCCATTTTTCCTCCCAGCGATACATTCTCTGTCTTTTTTTGTTTCGCATGTCTACTCTCATATCTTTACATTCCCTATCTTTTATTTTTTTATTTGAACATTGGTTCTCCTGTTATCATCAGCCACATTATTGATAATATAAAACAGAAGAAAAATAAATAAATAAATAAATAAATAAATAACCCAATACTCATACAATCCCCTCCCCCCCTTTTTTTTTACCAATACTTTAACTATTATTAGTACTATTGCTACTCCTACTTACTATTACTATTCGTACCATTACTTGTAATACTTCTATATTACTATTATTACTAGTTCCACACCTCAGGTGAAGTTAAGGTTAGTGTACAAGACCTATGTAAAAATATATATATATATATATATTTCTTTTTTTTTTTCTACGCGTTGGCTGTTTGGTCTGCAACCTTTGGCATCCATGGAGCCACACGATTAACTGGATAAGACATCCGCATATGCATCTCTGGTCTTCGCATGTGTACACGTGGTTCAAGAAACCGTTTTGCCTCCAATGGAATATCCACTGGTGTCTTTAATATCATTTGTTGTTGTTGTTTCTCCATCTCTGCAAGGGCATGGTGTAGCCACTCCGCGTCTAATTCCTCTGTACGATGCATGTGTGTGTGCAGAGCCTCTACATGTGCTCTTCCATTCTCTCTACACCTCTGCAGCATGTGTTGGAGATGAATCCCGTAATCACTATCCACATCCGCCACTTTTCTTGCTGGATTGCCGGCCCACACTTCTCCCGTGTGAATGATGGTATCTTTCGGCACACAAGCCCCTGGGGCAACAATCGCATTATTTTCTATATTCGCGCCTAATGCAATCGTCGCCCCGTGGCCAATAAAAGTGTGATCGCCCACCGTGCAGCAATCCAAACTGGCGCCAATGCCAATAAATGAACCCGCACCCACACGCACAGTTCCAATTAAAGTGGCGCGGTCCATCACGACAGATCCATCCATAATGACAAGCACCGCATCGGCGGCGGTGTGATATTGGCGCAATACAGTGTGGTAGAAAATACACACATCGTGGCCGAGTTCCACATTTCCGCAGACAAATGCACTCGGGGCGATAAACCCGCAGTCTTGTGTCCACGGCAGTAATCCACGATAGGCACGGATGTTTTGATGTCGCGTAACGGGATACATATGGCGGCTGGTTTGTAAATAATGGCCCATAATGGCAAGACGGGCCCCAACGTCTTTTATCAAATAAGCCAAATAGGGCACAGCTCCATAGACAACAGTGGGGGGCATATATCTCCTTTTTTTTTTCTTTTTTTTCTTTTCTTTTCTAAATAAATAAATATATATGTGTCTGTCTGTCTGTTTGTTTGTTTCTTCTGAAGACCTGCAGCGTAATCCTCATCATTATCATCATCATCATAGTGAGTCAGTAGAAAGAGAGAGAGAGAGAGAGAGAATGTTTGAAATAGATAAGTTTATTTTTTAAATATTGAAGGAGAGATATATGGAAACAGTAAACCACACACACACACACACACATTAAGGAAAATAGAAAAGAATATACTAGAGGACTCAAACAATACATTTATCCCTCTATTACAAATACACTATCTATCTATCTCTGTCCAATATATATATATATATATATATATATATAGCAGTAAAAAGTGAATAGCAACACATCATGTACTAGTATTATTATTGGTCAATTATAAACAAATAAATACGAAAATCAAATAAAAAAATACAAGAAAGGAAAATAAATAAATAAATAAGCAGTAATAATATGTACAAAAAGATTATCCTAACATTTCTCCTGTAGGAGTTAAACCAACACTAAGTTTTTTTCTGTAAAGAACTCAAAAAAGACCTCAGAGCTTCCAGTTCCGAAAGAGCACCCTGCATTGACTGCACTACAGATTTAGATTCATCACCATCATTACTATTACCATTATCAACAGCAACAACACTATCATCATTATCATTATCATTATCATTGTGTTGAATGATATCTAAAGAGGTATTGTTACTATCTTTACTACTACTACTACTACTACTACTACTACTCCTTGCAGTACTCTTATTGGATGTGATTTCCTCCTTATTACCATTGTTTATCTCCTCATGTTTGTTCTCATTCAACATCTCTGCATCTCCGCTCATTTCCACCAGTGGTGCTAAAGGTGAAGAAGAAGGAGAAAGTGGAGGCCTTGGCATCGATGATACGACACTCTGCAAGTCTTGTGGATTCACAACGGGCTCCTCTGATTTCACCACTGGAACGTTTTCTTCTTCTTCTTTTTCAATATCAATATTATTATTATTATTATTATTATTATTATTATTATTATTATTATTATTAGTAGTAGTAGTAGTAGTAGTAGTAGTATTGGTAACTGGATCTGTATTCTTTTCCATAGTTACAACAGTGTTTGTATCGTTTGATCGAAGGGCGTGTTGAAGAACTTCATTAAGTTCTATCATTTCATTTAGTGCTGTCTGTAATTGCAGTACCTGATCCACCAGTAATTTCTTTTCCTCTTGTAAACATTCCACTTCTGTGGATTGAGTGACAAGACTATAGTGGGTATCAAAAGATCTCTTCTTCATATTTAACTGTAATGTATGAAGTTCATTCTCTACTGCAATTCGTCGTTTTCTTTCCTGTGATGCTAATGTATCTAATTTCTCTTGTTGTTGTCTGCAAGTATTTAATTCCGCTTGTAGTCGTTCACATTTGAGTTCTAAATAACGTTGAACTTCCTCCATCACTTGATGAGAAGCCGTCAACTGTAGTGAAGTACGCCGTTCCTTCTCTAATGCCGAGCGGTGTGGACAAGAGGCATTTGTGCAGACTTCCACCGTAGAGTGAAGAGTATTAAAGGAAACATCATCTCCTGTGTTTGGATCCGTCCAACTGTGTGAATGAAGAGTAGGCGTTACCATATATATATATATATATATATATATATATATTACCAATAGTCTATATTCCTGGAATAATAATAAATAAATAAATAAAAGTATCAAATGTAGAAAAAAAAATAATAATTAAAGATCCAAATAAAGAAACAATCAATAAAGGGGAAAAATATACAATAGGTTACCCAGTATATGTTATCAGTGTAATTCTGATCATCCATAATATAATCATCATGATTCACCATTAATAATAATAGTAAAAAAATAATACCAAGAGTACTCATCAATACTCCTAAAACACAAACACACAGATATATATATATATATATAATAAAAAAATACATAAAAATAAGATCACCCCTCATTTAACAGCGGTGGAGAAAAAAAAAAAAAAAAAACCATTGTTAGGACTCACTGTGTCAATGAACCCGCTGGCTTCACCTTTGCAGAAGGGGCCTTTGGAATTCTCGCCGTGTTGTTTTTCCCACATCGTTGTAGCCGCAAGAAAATATAATTCACCGGTGACAAGAGCAAGCGAAGTAAAGGAAAAGTTCTCACACAAAACGCAACTTGTAGAGAATACAATGGATATGTGATGATGTTAGCAATGAGATAATTCAATAATAGTCGTGGGGAGAAACACACACCGCTAATAACAGGACCCGCATGAGACCAACGATCCAAGTCTACAAGACGATCACAACCAATAGACCGCATCCAACTGAAACTATCTCCAGTAGAAAAGATATTACTATGCAGAATATATACTACCGTTAGGGTTATAGACTCGCCTAGTATATATAAATACATGGCGAATCCAAATCCATATTCCATTATAATACGATAAAAACGACTTCTACTCATCGTTGGTCCTGATGCCGCGGCCTTTGAAGATTGCGCAGTAACTTTTACAGTTTGTTCCCTTGAGTTCCGTCTTGGACTCGTGCGGTGTCCCATTCGAGAACTACTACTCTTACTATTATTAATATGACTAGTACCTGCAGTTGCACTATTACGATAAGTAGTAGTACTACCAATAGAAGCAGAAGAAGTAATCGTAGTAGTTGTAGGTGTACGTGATGTACTGGCCAATCGACGTGAAAAAAAAAGTGGAGTGATAGTCACTCTTGGCATTAGTGCAACTATTTCTCCTATTCCTCCTCCTGTTCTTCTTGCGGTTGTTGTTGTTGTTATGGCTAATTTCCACATGACTTCCCTCAATGATCTTTTCAGGAGGAAAAAAAAAAAGAACAATAAGAAAAACAGAGATTCTACAAAGTAGATATGAACATTTAAACATTGCACATATTATATAATAGAAAAAATATGAATGCAGGTGAACATTGCCTTTGCTTTGGAGTTTAGATCGAATTAAGCATAAAATACACAGAATAATTTAAAAAGAGGGAAAAAAAAAGAAAAAAAAAAAGAGATCGACAGCTTCCAAAGAAAGAAAAAAAAAAAAAGTAGACTGAGGGACAACGTACAATTTCAACAAGGCAAACCAAATACCGCAAATATCACACCCTGTCAGTAATATCAATCACAATAAAAGTCAGGATAAAATACTGCTCCAAAATTACGAACAGTATTCGGTACAACTTCTCTTTGTTTGGCTATAGGCTTAAACCCCTCCAAACCAACAGAGAAACACCACCCACCGCAAACATACACACATACAGAGAAACCCCTTGTAAAAAAAAACCCGTCTACTTTCTTTCTTTCTCCATCTCTCTCTCTTTTTTAAATTTCTTTTCTTCTTTTCTCATCTCCCCACCACTAATTTTTTTTTTTTCTTCTTCTTTTGCTCTTCTTTCTTACCAAACCTTTTTCTTCTTGTTGCTGATGCTAATGATGCCACTACTTATGGTGGTGCTAGTAGCGTTTCCCATAATAGATGATGCTGATGGTGTTGTGGAGGCCAATGAAAGTCTCTCTTCTCGGTCTGTCACGATATCACTATCGTCCCCGTCGGCGCTATCATCCATGCGGTCTGCCAACTCCGCGAGGGTTGCGCCGTCCTCCGGCTCCTCGTAGAGAATATGCCGCAGACCCCGCAGCAGTGGCTGCAGGACCGCCAATCGTGGTAGGGTCTCTTCAAAGAGTACGAGTAAATCCCCTTCATTCTCCACAATGGCGGAGAGAAAGAATATCGCTTGACAGCGGAAATAGGCATCATGAATAATAAGAGCGCGAATGAGTTTATGTTCTACAAACCGTTGAGAAATAATACGACCAAAGATGTTGTAAACCGTCAATTGTATTCCAAGACCGCGAATGACCGTTACCTCCTCCGTGTGGGCCCGGCGCAGTCCGGTGATAAGGCGGTAAAGTAACACTAAACAACATATCACTATTGGAATAATGCGCGGCAGATGCCACGACACCTTTCCATTATACGGCATTAAAGCCATAGTAAAACTACTAATAGCGTTACTACCACTTTCACCATAGGGAAAAAAAGTCCATCCATTCCCAACACCAATACTACGAAGATAATCTACAAAGGTGGGTAGCGATGGCAATTCCAATGCCACAAAAACTATTAAAAGCATTAAATCATTAGGTGAGAAGAGACGAAGAATTGGTGGTGTTTGCGGGCCAAGTGCATCACGTCGCGAAACACGATACAAACGAACACTATCGCTGTAATTTACCTGAAAAACATCCACAACGGCGTTACTGTTAGTTTTATGATTTGACGCCAAAAGTATGGGGGGAGTTTCTTGTGGCAGTGATGTGCCATTATTTGTGTTGCTCATTCCTTTTTTTTTTTTTTTTTTTTTTCTTTTTTCTTTCCGTTTATGTTTCTCTCTTTGGGAAATTTATTTCAACTGGAGGGAAAGCCAACACGAGTTAAAGGAACTACAGCTGCAGTATCTGCAGTAGAGTCACCTCACACCACACCCTATACCTCTATTATTTCCCCCCTGTACCTTCTACCTCCACATGTACACAGACACACAGAGACACAGAGAAAGAGAAAGAGAAATAAAATAAAGAAAAAGAGTCGATAAAGAAGGGACGAAAATAGAAAATAAAAAAAAAAGGACAGATTTCCGACAATGAAAAAAAAAAAAAAAAAAA